GGCCTGGTACACTTCGGCTCAGGTCTCGGGCCTCTGGCAGCCTCTCGGGACGACCCAGGCACCCCCGGGAACGCTCTCGACGAGGCGCGGCTGCTGAAGAGCATCCCGGGGCGAGGAAGCATGCGAGAACCAAGCCCCGACCCCCTCCGAGGCTGCCGAGGCCTGCCGAGGCTGCTCCCTCCGCGACCGGGAGAGGGGCGGGCACGACCCCGGCGCTCGCGAGGAGAACGCAGGCGGAGGCGCAGGAGATGAGGGGAGAGAGAGAGAGAGAGAACGAGACAGGAGACGAGGAGAGACAGAGAGGGAGAGAGAGAGTGATGAGGGGGATCGCAGGAGGGAGAGCATGCGAGAACCCAGCTGACAACGGCCTGCGCCCCCCCAAGCCTCACCCCCCCCCTCTCGGCCTCCTCCGACGGAGCCTCTGTCCTTTTACGCCCCCTGGGACAGGAAGGGGCGGGCACCCCACCGCGCGCGGGCGGGCGGGCGGGCTCCCGGGGGCTCCCACGAGAGAGAGGGAGGCGGGGAGATGGGGCTGGAAGCATGTACGGAATTCTGGATACTGCGAACGATGGGAAACCCATAGCCAGACGACTGCCTATTGCGACCAGGTCGGCCACGAGATAACACCAAAGCTTGCCTGTGGCCTGGCCTGCTCAGCTTCTGTGAGCCTTAGGCCAGGCCACCTTGCAGCTCCAACGCGGCAGCACTACGCGCGAAGATGGGTCCCCTTGCTTGGCGAAACGTTGGAGCACATCGCTTCCGCATGCAACGCAGAACCAAATTCCGAGGAGGGTGGGAGAGAGGGGGAGAGGAAGAGAGGCAGGTAGGGAGGAGGAGGAGGAGGAGGAGAAAGTGGGGGGTGGGAGGACGAGAGAGGGGGCCATGTGTGGTTCCTGCGCCCGCGCCCCCCCTACCCACGAGAGGATGCGGAAAGGGATAAGGGGGGGGTCATCATCACAGCAGCATCATCATTATCATCAGCATCAGCATCAGCATCAGCATCAGCATCATCATCATCATCATCATCATCATCATCATCATCATCATCATCATCATCGTCATCAGCATCCTCATCCTCATCCTCATCCTCATCCTCATCCTCATCCTCATCCTCATCCTCATCCTCATCCTCATCATCCTCATCCTCATCCTCATCCTCATCCTCATCCTCAGCATCATCATCATCATCGTCATCATCACCACCATCACCACCACCACCATCATCATCATCAGCAGCATCAGCATCAGCATCAGCAGCAGCATCAGCATCAACATCATCAACATCATCGTCACCGTCATCATCATCATCATCATCATCATCATCATCATCATCATCATCATGTCCCCCTGTCGGAAGGGTCCTGGACCGTGATATGGTTTGTCGAGGAGCCTCCCTACCCTTATGTTATCCAGGGCCATTTTTCCCTACCTAGGCTCTGCCTAGAAGGGTTCTTACTCTCTAGCTTAATGGGGCCGGGCAGTGGAAAGCGCCCCGGGCGGTTCCCCCAGTCCCCGCCCCGCGGTTCCCCCAGTCGCGCCCCCTTAGCTTGGCTTAGCTTATCTCGTCTTAGCTTGGCTTAGCTTAGCTTGGCTTAGCTTAGCTTAGCTTAGCTTGGCTTACCTTAGCTTAGCTTAGCTTAGCCTAGCTTAGCTTAGCCTAATGTAGCTTAGCTTAGCGTAGCAAAGCATAGCATGGCATAGCATAGCACAGCATAGCATAACATAGCACAGTATTGCATAGCATTGCTTAGCATAGCGCCCCCTTAGCTTGGCTTAGCTTATCTCGTCTTAGCTTAGCTTGGCTTAGCTTAGCTCGGCTTATCTTAGCTTAGCTTAGCTTTGCTTAGCTTAGCTTAGCTTAGCCTAATGTAGCTTAGCTTAGCGTAGCATAGCATAGCATATCACAGCATAGCATAACATAGCACAGTCTTGCATAGCATAGCTGTAGCTTAGCTGTAGCTTAGCTGTAGCTTAGCTGTAGCTTAGCTTTAGCTTAGCGTTAGCTTTGCTTCAGCTTAGCTTCAGCTTAGCTCCAGCTTAGCTTTAGCTTAGCTGTAGCTTAGCTTTAGCTTAGCATTAGCTTAGCTTTACTGCTACTAATAATGATGCTTTCCTAGGGGCTCCGACTCCTAGGTAGGGTCGCACTGGGATACTTTTATTGACGGGTCCTGTCGTAGGCATACCATAAAAGAGCTGAGCAGAGCCGCTTGGTCTTGCACTGCATTTGAGAATGGAATTGGACAATGTGAAATGCGTTATCCTATCCACGCGTCCTTGCCTCAGACCCCGCAATGTGCCGAGTTTTCGGGGTTCACGGGTGCCACCATGTGCCTTGGGGGCCCCTCGGACCTCTACACTGACTGTATGAATGTTCCGCAGCAGTACATCGTCCCTCTAGGTGCCCTGTCGGACTATAAGCGTGTCTATGCGGGTCACATGAACCAAGCTAGGTACGACGACGGTGTTAAGCACATCCAGTCGGTCAGCAACGTGAACGCCCACTTGTCGCTGAACGAACCTGGGTTGACCGACGAGGAGCTGTTTAGACGTGTCGGAAACAAATGTGCAGATGAAGGGGCCGAAGAGGCGTTGAACCTGCACCCTTGTGACAGGCTAGACGACATCGATCGCCACGTAAAGTATGTTTCGGCCTTTCGTATTTTGGCGATGAAACGTTTGCCGTGCTTCCCCTCCCTGCGTGAAGATGGGGATGTAGAGTATGTGGCACCTCCTCGGCCAAACAGAGATCCCAAAGTTATGTGTTCCTGGGTCTGGGCCGCTAATTTATGGAGATGTGCTGTGTGCTGCAAGGCTACCAGAACTGAGACTGTCCAGAGCGTCATGTCTGGGCAGGGAGGCCAACCCCACCCTCGTGTCTGCTCAGGTGTAGTGGTTGGCCTAGACATGGATAGGATCAACAACAATAACCACACTGTGGTTTGGTTCGCATGCTCGAACAATTCTAACCTTTTTACCTGTGTACACTGCACTGCGTCTTTTAGCACGTCACCATTGAAGAGCAACCTCTATTTGAAGAGGTGCGATCGAAAAATTGACCTCAAGAGACAATACGTTTGGAGGAAAGTGCTTCTCGGGAAGCACCCACACCAGCCTGGAGTTCGAATGTGGACTACCGAACGCAGCCTGGCCGCGCGGCCACCAGCGGAGGATGGCGTTGTCGAGTCAGCCTCTTCCGATTGAAGCCTGTTCCCCCCGCGTTGGAGCGGAAGACGGCGGGCCCAGTTCGCTCCGACCAGTGGCCAGAGGGCCTCATCTGGAGGGCTCCGCCACGGGGGCACTGGCTCATCGGCTGAGTGTCAGGCCCACACCAGGGATGGAGCTTGCCTATCGTCCTGGCGTTATTTGCACCAGGGGTAGGCATTGCCGAGTTGTCCTGGCGTCGCCTAGTTTATTTTAGTACGATCGTGCGCACACGCGGTTGCACGAGTATGAGGCGCCCCAATTGTGGGGGAAAATGCGCCGCACGTTTGTTGGGTACATCCTGTGGGTTTGCACGGGGGTGGGTTCCCACCCTGACCGTTGCTACGCCTCGGGGCTTTGCGCGTGTCTTTCCCCAAGCACAGCTGTGTTGACGGTTTACCGTCCTGGCGTTCCTTACACCAGGGGTCAGCTTCGCACATTTTCTGTCATCCAAGCAGTCTTTCTTTGTGCGCACGTACGAGCGCGTTTGCACGTGTATCAGGCACCCCAACTCGTGGGAGAAGGTGCACTGCACGCGTGGTGAGCTTTCTCAGTGGTCTCGCACGGGGGTGGAGGTCGGACCCAGGTCGTCCGCCCTGACCGTTGCTAGGCCACTGGCCCGTCGAGCTCCTGGCTCAGGGCTGGGGTTGTTTTGAGGCTTGGGCTTCTAGGGGAGGTGCAGGTTACGCAGCCTGCCGTGGTACCCGAGCCTTGGGGTACCTCCTTTATCATTGCCCTCCACCCTTTTTCTTCGTGCTCAGGGGGTGTTGTGGGCTCGGTCGGCGTGGGGGTGCAGGTTACGCAGCCTGCCTTGGAACCCGAGCCTTGGGGTTCCCCCCCGCCGCCGTTGCCCCTCTCCCCCATCCCATTTTTCTTTGGGGATCGTGCGTCCCAGTGCACGGCCAGGAGGGCCACGCGGAAACCGGGGCGACCGTCGCATGGGGAAGTCAGTGGGAGCTTTGAGCACGGGGGCACTCTGGCCCCGACCGTTGCTCGTTCCCACTTTCCCCTAGTTGGAGGGGGCTGCCTCCATGGGCGCAACGCCGTCTTGTGTGGCCTGGTTGCGCCAAACGAGCGTTCACAGAGGATGTATACCTCAGCTGCGCCTTAGCCTACTTGTGGCTAGAGGCGCAGAGGCAGAGTGTTTCAACGCGCTCTCTGCCTCACCCCAGGTCTTTGTCTGCAGGAACCCCCTTCGGGTCCTGCAGCCTTTGGGTGCATGCTTCTTAGAAGCTGCACCACCTGGCCTGTCCATGGCAGCTCAGTGCTGTCTTTGGCACCGCGGTCGATGTCCACGGCAAAAAAATCATCATCATCGTCATCATCTTCATCTTCATCATCATCATCATCAGCATCGTCATCATCATCATCATCGTCATCATCATCACCATCATCATCGTCATCATCATCGTCATCATCATCGTCAGCATCATCACCATCATCATACTCATAATCAGCATCGATATCATCACCACCACCATGATCATAAGCATCAACAGCACCGTCTTCATCATCATCAGCATCATCACCACAATCATCAATACCACCACCATCATCCTCATCAGCATCAGCATCATCACCATGTTACCATCCGCATCATGGTGACGATCATCATCACCACCATCATCAGCGTCAGCATCATCGCCATCATCATTATCGTCATCACCACCAGCACACCAGCATCACCATCATGATCATCAGCAGCAACCTTATCATCGTCATCATCGTCATCTTCATCGTCATCTTCATCGTCATCTTCAGCAAGACTAGCAACAACATCACCACCCCCCCCAGGCTTCCGCAGGCCAGCGAGGTGATGCCGCGCAAGTGCTCCACCGCCCTCACCAGACCCCAGCCGCATGCCTGGCAGAGCCATATCAGGAGCGCGGCTCCGCTGCGGTTCTTGCCTGGGGTCGTCCAGAACCAAGTTTAACAGTAAGCCTACGCGTCACCTTCATGCCCCCTCCTCGCCCCTCCTCTTCCCCCACATCCTCCTTATCCTCCTCCTCCTTCTTTTCCTCGTCCTCCTCCTACTTTTTTTGGATTTCCTCCTGTAGAGGTTGTGTCCGAGCTGTGTGGGCCATGCACACTTGAAACAAGAAATCGCCAGCTTCCCAACTGATGGGAAGGGGACCCCTCGATGCTACAGCGTCGCACCGAGGCCGGCACAACCAAGGCAAGTCGGCGAGAACGTGGGGAGGAGGAAAACGAGACGACGACGAGGACGACAAGCGGACCAGCCACGAGACCAGGAAAGGCGAGAAAGACGAGGGACACGAAGAGGAACGACGAGAGGGGGACGTCGGCTCATGAGAGCCCGGAGGCCGCAGAACGGCCACAGGGCACGGAGGAAAAAGCCGCGCGCCAGTAACCCCAGGAAGCATTTAAGAACCCCCCCGGCGATATCTTAGCACCGCATTTTTATTCGATATTCCGAGGGGCCGAAATAACCGCACGATAGGTTTAGCACCCGGACACACAACAAATTCGCGGAGGCCTGGCCCCTGGGCTACTGACAGGCCTTGGGCCCCGAGGGAAGGAGGGGGGCGCGGGAGGAGGAGGAGGAGGAGGAGGAGGAGGAGGAGGAGGAGGAGGAGGAGGAGGGGGCAGGAGGAAGTTCGTGGGTGGAGGAGAGGAGGAGGAGGAGGATGAGGAGGAGGAGGAGGAGGAGGGCTCCTGGTGCCAGGTAACGCTTCCAGGGTGCGGAAGGGTTATCGATTTGCCGGAAGGGGGGGGGGGGGGGTTCTTAAATGCTTCCTGGGGTTAGCCGCGGCCCGCCCACGCGGCGCGCGGCACGCTGCGTGCTTCGATGCCTCGGACCAGGCACGCGGGAGGGAACAGGGGAGGAGGGGGGAAAGGAGGAGGAGGACGAGGAGGAGGAGGAGGGGGGAGAAAACACAAGAAACTGGACAGACGAAGGTGTGCGGCCCGTCTCTCCGGCGCGCAGACTCGCGACGGCCTGAAAAAAAAAGGGTGCACATTTGTACCGACGGATTTCCGTACAGAGGACCCGGCACACATGGGGGGAGGAGGAGGGAGGAGGAGAAGGGACGGCAACGGCAGCGCCTGCTGGGGCGCGCGGCAGGACACTTCGCGCCAGCGCGCGGCCTCCAGAGGAGAAAAGATTGCACCGGCAGCCTCCGGGCCCAGGAGAAGAGGGAGGACGGGGAGGAGGAGGAAGGAGGAGGGGGAGGGAGGAGGGGCAGCAAGCAGGCAGGCAAGCAGGGGGCACCGGGGGGAGCACGGCCGCGGGGTGTGAGCCACCTGGCCCCGCTGGTTAGGCGCGCGTGCTCGGGTGGGGGCAGACGGGGGTGGTGGGGAGAGGGGGCCCGCGCCCGCGGGGGTGGGCTGGCCGGCGGCCGGCGCCTTAAGTCGTCACCCCCGCCAGGCCAGCAGGCCCTGACGTGGGCGGCCGCCCGCCGGCTCCTACTCTTCCGCCTCCTCCTCCTCCTCCTCCGCCTCCTCCTCCTCCTCGTCCGCTTCTCCTCCTCTGCCAGCTCCTCCTCTTCATCCGTCCTCCCTATCATTCTCCTCTTCCTCGTCCTGCCTGCCCACCTCCTCCTCCCCTCTACACGTTTATCCGGCTCCGTTGCTGCAACCCGTGCTACATATACTTGACGGCCGATTAAACCCAATGCAACCCTCGGGCGTTCCATTCCTTTTGTTTATCAAAAACTCCTCCTTGTCGAACCCCGAAACCAGTCGGAAGGGCGGGCCACCATTGATTATCCTCAAGCTGAAAATTGACAACAACTTCGCACATGGAAGGCGAATCGGTTTTAAACATGTGGTTCGTGCCGTAGCGCCGCGGACACTCGTCTAAACAATTGCAAAAGCGTTACGAAATAAGGGCGGGTGGTTTTTCAAACGCGGTTCTTGCCTTAATGATGGGCACATTCGTTTTCCGAGTTTGCAAGAGCTTCGCGGCTTGAGGGCGGGAGGTTTTCAAAATGTGGCCTCCGCCCCAGCGCCGCGCACATTCGACCTTAAAAACACGCAGGGTTTCAATAAGGGCGGGTGGTTTTCAAAACGCGGCTCTCGCTTTAGCGCCGCCCACACTCGTGCAACAAAATCATACATAGATTCACGGATTGACGGCGGTTTTCTTTTCAGCATGTGGTTTTCACCTAAGCGCCTCGCACACTCGCCAAACGAATTCGCAAAAACCTCAAGAATTGAAAGCGGGTGGCAGTTTCAAAATGGACTTCGCCTCAAGGCCGCGCGCATTGGTTTGGGCAAATTCTTCAATCTGTCAGTTTTGAGCGCGACAACGCCGTGGTTTGCGTCTGCCGCGGCGACCGGAACAACCGCCACAACGCCCTGCGCAACCAGGCATTTTTCGACGCCGTGGCCGCTGGCCACGCTGAGGCGGAATTCGAGCTGCCGGGGCTGCTACCCCCGCGCCCCGCCGGGGGCGCCACCCCTGGAGGTGAGCAGGGCGGGTCCAAGGTGGACTACAATTACCGCCGCCCCGCCGACGTCGACCTGTCCTGTGGCGCAACGGAACGGCGGTTGCCTGGGACTTTGCCGCCATGTCCGGGATGCGCGCCGATCTCTTCGCCGTTTCGGCCGCTTCGTCAAGCGCCCCGACGGAGCGGCACGATTGGTTCAAAAAGCAACACCAAGACACCGCGCGGCAGTGGGAGGCGCAGGGTTTCACCTTCCTCCCTTCGGTGGTGGAATCCCACGGCGGCGGGTTGGGCCACGAGGCGCGCAGTGCTCTCGGGTTCCTGACCAAGCGGGTGGCTGACGCCACATGGGAAAACGCTGCCGCTGTAGCGGGCCAACACGCCAAGCGACTCTCGACTTCCCTGCGTCGGGGGGACGCACGGGCTCTTTTGCGGCGCCTCGAGACGCATTCTTAGGGGGCGGGGTTGGCCGGGGCCCGTTTGGCCGCGGCCATAGCGGCCTCCGCGGTGGACGCCGTGTGAAGTTTTCCCGGCGCTGCTTAACGCCCCTTGCCCACCCCGCCGCCCACCCTTGCTGCCACGAGCACTTCCCCCCGCGCCCCTCCGCCGGCCGTCCTTTCCTCGGCGGGGCGGTGGATGGATCCCGCAAGTGGCAAACCCCGCCGAGCCGCAGCGTGCTGGGCTCGGCCAAGGCACCCCACAACGATCCGGACACCCCTCCCGATGCTTTTCTTGACACCCAACCCCGCGCCCAGCCCCACGCCCTGCCCTACGCCCAGCCCCACTCCAGCACGACGAACCCGACGACGAACCCGACAACCGCCACCCACTCCAACGCTGGCACCGCCGCCGTATATCCGTAACCTCGTCGCGGGTGGTCCTTTTGTCCCGGCCCCTGTTCTGACCCGTCTGCTTGCGGTTGCTCGCCTCTCCCTCCTCGTCTCCCGTCCCTCCTCCCCCTCGCCTTCTCCGCCCTTGCTCCCTGCTTGCTGTCTTCTTTTGTCCCTTCCCGCCTGCTTCGTCCCGCCGGCCCTGGCCTCCCGCGCGCGCGTTTGTTGAACAAGGACCGACCGCCCCCGCTTTCTTATAGGCCTACCACGACATGTTCTTAAAACCCACAAATGTTCGAAAAACTGATCAACGCTTTTACACTATAAGCCCGATGTGTTAAAACAAAACAACCCCAACCATACACGCTGTAAGAACATTCCGCGCCGACCACAAACAAACAGGTTCTTAGAACATTCTTTGGTGGGGCGATAGGCAAGCAAGGACGTTTCGCCACTGTTCGAGTTTGCCGTTGTCAGGTTGCTTCTCGTTCCCTCTCTCCTTCTCCGTCGCCGCGCAGCACCAAACTGCCGGGAGCCGGCGGCGCCGCGCGGCGGCGCCCTGGGGCAGGCGGGGGCCGAGCGCAGCAAAAAGCTGCCGGAGAGTTCGTCCTTCGAGAGGGCGGGCCGGTTTCAAAACGTGGCTCTCGCCCCAAGGCGGCAACTTCACGGATTGATGGAGGTGATTGTGAAAACAAAACTCCCGCTTTGCGCCGCGGGCATTCGTTCCAAGAGACTGCAAGAGTTTGACGGGTTGCCATGGTCCTGTACAAAACATGGAGGTTGGGAATTGGGAGCGATTCGGGACTGTCAGGCCGCAACAACTACGTTGATTCGCGGTAACGGAATCCAAAGAATAGCGTTCAAACACGATTCTGGATCGTCAACTTCATTCGTGGCGTTGAATTCCCAGGACTTGTTTCGGTACGCTGCACGATCTTCAAGCGGTCGTCCCACCGACTCATTTCCCTCAGTAGAAAGGAGTCCTTCGATGGGGGGGGCGCTGGGGGATAGGTTTATTCCAAAGTGGTTGGTGACTTTGGGTTTACAATGGTCATGCTCCTCCTCTTCCACATCGCCCCGTGCCCCCCCTCCTTTCCCCCCCCCCCCCCCCTTCCTCCCCAGCTCCAGACTGGATGGGTATGGCGGCCTTTCGGCCTACAAAGGCTTCAAAGGTTTTGTTTGAATTTCCTCCTCGTGGCCGTCCTCGTCGTCGTCGCCCTCCTCGTTCGTGTGTTCGTCCTATTTCCTCTGTCGTCTACAATTTCTTCCTTGTCGTGCCCCTCGAATCGTTATCCGAAAGCTATTTCTTCGTCATCATCCTTCCCGTGTAGAAGATCCATGCAGGGATAGCTTCTGTTTGAGGTGCGACACAATCCGTTGTGTGGGCGGATTGCATTGGATTCGTCATGCTTGCGGGGAAAGCCACAGAAAACAAAACACAAAGAACAACCAAACAACAACAACAACAAAAAAAAACACGAACACCGAATGAAACAACCAAGAAACCTTTCACAAAACAAAGAGTATTATTGCGTGTGGTCTCCAGGGCAGTCCAAGAACACAAGCCTCAATCAGGCTCGGAGGCTTCATCCTCCCAGGAATCTCCGTCACTGTCAGCTCTGCGGCCTCTCTCAGTGGAGATTCGCCCAAACTCTGCCACCCAGTCTA